TGTGGGGGGGGGGGGGAACTTGAATAACAGATTTAACACACCAAACAAAACGCATGTATCTGTTTAGTTTGTGAAAACCATGTAGTAGATTTACTTGTTACAGAGGCTTAGGGCACAGGCTAATTTTTCTGGTCGCGCGATTAGCTAAGCTACGCTAGCCCTAGCTTGTATACAGCTGTATTTTTAGCACCATTACGCTAACTCTATTCAACTGATCAACTTAAAAATCTAAATTATTGAACTGTTACAGACTACAAATCGCAAACAACTGTTTGCTTACCCTCATTTTCTCCGTTATAAAGGTGTTTTTTATGTGTTTTATGTATGTGCAACAGTCTGAGGCTGATTTTTCGTATTATTAAACAGCCAATGGGACTAGAGATGGAAATGATCCACTTGGATATAATCTCATGTATTTAGATGTAAATGTTAATTAACATGTAATGTCCCATTTAAAAGAAAAACATAAACTTAAAAGAATTAACAAAAAAAATTACTAATTGCAATTGTAAAACAACAAAAGGTGCATTTCTGTCATTTACTGACATGGACCGTGGACAAAACACTAAATCTATGAATGATATGACATGAACAAACTGATTGACAGCTTTAGTCGGGGTGGGCAAATTATATTTTAAGGGTAAGGCACGCCCTTTAATCACCCCTGTAGTTACACCCCTGGCGTTTCTCCTTCAAACCCTCCTAATAAATGGAGGACATCCAGCAGAAGCCGGAAGAGGCTTGCAGACTCCTCACCTGGCATGCAGTTCAGTGGGTGACCCTGAGGTGGTGGCAGTGAGGTCATCGACGGCACGGGCGAGATGGCAGCGGGGGTGCGCGTGGGCGAATCCACGGACTCGCAGTCACAGGTGCAGGCCTTGACGTTCCGCGTCCACGTCTCGATCACCTGCTGCTCCTCCTCCTGCAACTCCTCCTCCTGCAGCTCCTGCTCCTGCTGGACGGCCTCCTCTTCCTGAGGAACGCACGGGGGGAGAGAGGAGTCAATCCAAGGTCACTCACCTTAAACCAGATCTCAGCCTTCTAGTACAAGCACAATCTCACCTCCTGTGATCTAACCGTGATCACGGCTGCACAAGTGTTAAAAAAAAACAACAAAAAAGAACAGTCAGAAGAACGGGTTGCGTAAAAATTCAATGTGCAAAGCTAAATCTCACAGAAAAAGAGAAATAACTCATCAGAGACTTTTTTTTTTGCATATAGATATCTTATTAGTCAGTCTGTGTGTGAATAACCATAATACTCCAAAGCAAAACTGCACAGCTCGGAAAACAAAAGTAATCACTTGCGTCCTACAATATAAGCAGTGATTGATGCAATTCTACGAAGAAACATGAGGAAAATGTTTCACGTCCACAGCGACTTACCCTGAGAGAGGAGCAGGAGGAATAACGCAGCAGCACAGTGAGCCGGGACCTCCATCTTCTTCTTCAGCTGTGCTGGAATGACATGTGTGTGATACCCAACTCTGGTGGACAGGATTACTATAATCCACGGGCCTGTGATGGCCTCATAATACTCTTTAGTGGCACTTAGACGCCTCCCTTTGGACAGCTCTGTTATACAGCATCTGTGCTTGTGCGGACAGCTTCATGTCAACGCTGAGCAGAGACAGAGCCTCTGATAAGTGGTCATCAGTGGCCTGAGGAACACGTCGTTTAGTTCAACACCGGTGACGGTTTCTGGTCTGTGTTCTTCGATCGTCGGCTGCCGTCCAGCAGGAACGGGGTAGAAATTTGTAACCGTTAAAAGACAGATGGCTAAACTATCGCTTAGTTTGGTTAAGTAGTAAAAAGTCACTCTGTTTGTGACATACAGTACATTGCAAATAAAAAAAAAGAAGAGTTCTTCACATTATTGTAACAGTTTTTAATGTCTTTTGTTTTATGTTTTAGTTCACATGTGTCAAACTCATGGACAGGAAGTCATAGCTTTATATGTGGATCCTTAACAACTGTAGCTAAAGATGATAAAGAACCAACTAATGACTAGAAGAATAAATGCATTTTTTTAGCAGGTTTTTAACAATTTCACCAAATTTCCACAAGGTAATGACACTTAAAGTACCAGAAGTATTTTTAGATGTATTTTTTGCCATTAGATTGGAAACTTTGTGCCTTTTTAATTTTTTTTTTAATTATTTTTTTTACATAAGTGTCCACAAAAAGTTGTTCATGGTCTTTTTACAAAAATGTTTTTTTGTTATTTGTTTTAAAACATCAAAATAGTTATGAAACAGTAGCTATTTAAAAATGACAAATTTCTAATTACATATCCAAAATTATAATTGTAAATGTTTTTTTGTTTTTTTTTTTCAGTGCATCATGTAACGTTTGTGGCATGTTTTATTTAGCTGAACTGAGAGCCAAAATGGCTCTTTGGATGGTAAAAGTTGCAGCCCACACAGCTCTAGACTCATGAGAGGCGGATAAATAAAACCTTCAAGGTAACAGCTGTGTGCTTAAATAATAGTTTATGGGTCAAATCAAAAGTAGTTTTTATCTGTATATGTTTTTAATGATATGAATGTCAAAAAGTGCAAGGTGTATGAATACTGCGCTAAATAATCACAGATGTTGATTGTTTTTACTGAGGCCAATTTAGGGAACTAATCTATCTGATTGGAGATCAGAGTTCGGTTTGTTATTGTGATCTAAATTATCAGCATTCAAACACAGCATTCTTGTACAGTAAGAGATCCTAATCTTCAAAGCAACCAGTGAACTAATCCTTGCTAGGGCAATAAGTGTCTCTCTTCTCACATAAGTTTTCCATTGTTTTTTACTGTTCCACTCATATTTGTCACATATTATTGTATTATTGTATATAAAATTGTAGATTTGGGGCAGGTTGGATCTGAGATTCACCCATTCACAATAGACTCCAGGCTGACCTAAATACTGTTCGATGCAGACCTGATTCTCGTTCCTTTTCCTTTAATATATGCTTAATTAAAATGTCATTGTCAGTGTCCTACATTAAATAAATATTACTTCCTTTAAAACTTTAATAACATCACGGTATCCCCGGCGTTTTTGGTTTGAAATTTGATGCTTTTATGTTCTCATTACCGCAAAGTTGTGATGTGATTGCTGTCAGAAGCATCCAATAAGATTTAGAGTATTGAATTAAAGCGCTTAAAAGGCGGGCACTGTTGACATGTGTTAGCCAATCACAGCCATCACCAGCTTGTCGGTAGCCAATCGAAAGCGAGGTTTCACCTGCCTATGGTATATGGTGGAAGTGAGGCTGCTCATCTCTTCAGACGGAAATACAGTGCAGTTATTCATGGTGAGTAGCTTTAAAGCTGTGTTGCTGGAATGTGAAATTAAAAAGGCTTAAAATTATGGGTGGAATGTCATGTTTTAGACGGTGTGTCTGACGTGAAAACTTGCTAGTTCTAACCAGAGAATAACGGCGTTAAATGGTACTTCCGCTCCGCTGTGTTCATAACGGTATGATGATGTTTAACCAACTGGTGATAATTGACCGAATAGTTTGGCAGCCAGAAGGGCTTTGTCATAGAAACACCGTGAATGTATCATGTTGTCATGTTAATTTTATGGGGTTATTATCTTAACTGTTTAGGTAAAAATTAAATTTGTACTAAAACAGAACGTTGTGAAAACAGTATACATACATAGTAACCTGGTGAGACAGGCTTTTTTTTTTTTTTTTTTTTTTGCTTTTTTATAGCAAGTTACTCTTTTGTACAAGAAAAATATTTTTTTTGAATTAATTAATTTAGGTCACATTAGTTACTGATCTCTCTGCTTCTCTTGGTGGCTGTAGTTGCATCCGGAGACGTCACTACAGTTAAATACACGGGTGGCTTTTTTTTGAGGGGGGGGGGGTTTGTTTTTACACATTTTCCAGGTTTTTTTTTTCCTTCTGTTTTTTGTTTCTCTCTGAACTGTAAACGTTTCATGTTAACAAGCAGATTTTATTTCCAGACAAAGATAAGATACAATGAGTAAAGACAAAAAGCAATTTGCAAATGGTTCATTAAGTGAAAGATGAAAATCAGGAACAGTTGGGGAAACAAAGTCATTGACATGTGTCAGTCTGGAGAGAGTCCATTATCTACAAATGTAGAGAGCATGGGAGAATGTTAAACTTCCCCAGGAGGGGATTACCCAAATTACTCCAAGAATTAATTAAAAAAAGATTCCCAAATTCTTGATGGGAGTTGTCGCCAAGGGGCAAATAGTGATTAGTTTTGCAAAAAAAAATACTTGCAATTAGATAGCAGGTGGGTGGTAATTATTTTTCTATACAGGGCCAGGTTGGTTTGGATACTTTTCTTTTTTTTTTCCCTGTCAGAAAGTGAAAATATGGTTTGAAAAATCCATTTTGTATATTTAAGCAGATTATTTTTGTCTGATATCAGAACTTGTTTCTGATCTTAAATATTGTGACACAAAAGCAACCCCCCCCCCCCCCCCCCCAAAAAAAAAAAAAAAAAAAAAAAACAAATTTTAAGGGGGAAAATACTTTTTCACAACTTATGAAGAAATTTTAATGTATTTATTTTCATACTTAAACTAATGAAAAAATGATGTGTCTTGATTCATTACACACTGATTGATATATTGTTTTTCCAGATTTTTTATTTTTTTTGCTCACAGCTCAAACCTCCTTACCCCCAATAAATTTAGGTTAATACAAAATAAGAATGCATGAGGTCAATAAAATTATTTTTAATACAGAAATGCTATGTTGCAGCTTTTCAAAGGCTTGATTGAAAAAAACTTTTTTTAAAATCAGTTTTATAAATAACTTGCTCATTTTTAGGACTTAATTCAATCTAGTATTATTTACATTAATCCATTGTCTTTATGTAATTTTTAGTGAAATATAGAATTATTGATTGGCATCTTAAACATAACAACATCCATGTCGACGTTCTTAATTTGGCATAACTTGTCAGAACCAGAATGGCTTCATTCTCCTTCACATAAAGAGAATTGGCTCTTTTTTTTTTTTTTTTTTTTTTTTACATTTATTGTCGTATTGTGCGACTGTGTCTCCTTGCCGCCCACTCCTTCCTCTCATCTTTTCATTCACATCTCTTGTTTTGTCATCCCTTCATTTCAGATGCAGTTCATGCTTCTGTTCAGTCGTCAAGGCAAGCTCCGGCTGCAGAAATGGTACGTGCCTCTGTCTGACAAAGAGAAAAAGAAGATCACCAGAGAGCTGGTGCAGACCGTCCTGGCCCGGAAGCCTAAAATGTGCAGCTTTCTGGAGTGGAGAGACCTAAAGATTGTTTATAAGAGGTGGGTGGTGATTAGGGCTTGTCCAAGAACACTGATCTTATCTGAACCTTCTTTGACTAATTGGTTGTGTGGTTCGGTCGGGTGGATCAGGAACGGCTGTCAGCAATGAGATAAAACCATCATGAATAGACTACAAGTAGGAGGAGTATCAATTTTCCCCTCATTATATCCTGTTGCTGTGCCAACGGACGAGCAGGCAGACTATTGGTGAGGCTGGGTGGCCCAGGCTGAACAGATTAACATGGGACTGAAGGTGCCTAAGCAGACAGGTTTATTTACAAGCTGTAGTTAAGTAATGAAAAGGTTTTTTGTTTTTGTCACTGCTGTTTTTTCTGGACTGCTCACTTTACTTATTAAAGTAGCTCAAACTCGGTCAGCCTGAACGGAGTGTGTCTGTGAACACCAGTTTTTAAGTCTCGCCTCAGATTCTCGATTTAAGTTTGCTTCCTGAATACGCACAGAGTGAATTGAAAGGGGCAAGCAGTTTTTGATCCCTTCTGAGTAAGGTTCAACCTGCATTGAAAGGTTAAGGAAGTATGAAACATGTTAGCTGTATTTCTACATTTACATAAATATATTATCAATTGGTGCAGTATAGTCACCGAAGTGGACTTGAAATACGACAAAACTAATTTCCAGGTGACTTTCCAGCAAGATATAGGAGCTTGTTTTTAACTAAATAATCTCTTGATACTGATTTAAAAAGTACTAGCAGACATTTTTGGCAGATATTTTTTNTAAAACATAACGTAATCTGCCAGTGGAACTTGTACTTTTTCATCAATATTAGGTAAATTTTGACTTAAAACAAGTTCCCATGTCTTTTTGAAAAGTTACTTGTAAGTTAGTTTTGTTTTATCTCAGGCTTACTAAGATGTTTGCACTAGAAACTACACAAAAACTTATTAATATTTTGTGTTTTTGCACTGGCATGTCTCCTTTGTCTTCATAATGTTTGTTTGAATTAATACTGAGATTACATTACGCACAGCTGGACTATATTTGGTAATTGGCTCCTTCAGGGAATCGGCAGTATATTGTTACTAAAGCTAAACGTTTAAGGACATAAATCCTCATAAGAATTATTTTTATGAAGGAAAGCATCCTATTTATCATGTATCTTTTTAATGTGATGACTTGCAAAAGAGAGAAGTAATGAAGTGCACAAGGAAAACCTCCACAGAGTTCAATAAATAACAGGAAATGTACAAGCAAGAAACTGCCTTTTTGTTTCTGTAAAGCAGGCAACACCTTTATTCCCGTCTGAAAACGACTCTGCGGACCGTCGTCCCTCGCTGCCTCCTGCTCGCCCTGCCCTGTGGCTGGTTGGGACCAGCTGACCAGCTTCTTTATTAGCCAATCATCACATGCTTAAAGAGAGCCTCTGGGATTATCGGGGATAAGGAACTGTGGCAGGGGCTTAACTGATTCAGCATCCTCCTCTGGCTCCTGGCGTTTTAATGAACACGCTGCGCACAATAAGCAGCCATCTTTAATAACGGCCAAGGACTCCTCTCTCAGCAGTATTTAAGTGCAGAGGGAAACCGTAGTGTATATCACTTCTGTGTAATGTGTAGTCATCTCTTCCTACCAGGTGCTGCAATATGTCAAAAACATATTGAACGTTGCTGAAAATTATGACACGATCATTTACGATACCCTTTACGACTGTACTGATGTTGTAATGATGATTGTGATTCTAAATATTGTGTTTTTCCTGTGTTTTTATGGTAAAAGAGGTAAAAGTATTTGAGCACTTTGTGTTCTTGCTGTGTTGTAGATATGCCAGCCTGTATTTCTGCTGTGCCATAGAGGACCAGGACAATGAGCTCATCACACTGGAAATCATCCACAGATACGTGGAGCTGCTGGATAAATACTTTGGCAGTGTGCGTTTGGATCTCTTGCTCAGTTTCCATTCATGTTGTATTGTTTTTATTTTTATTATTATTATTTTTTTTAAAAAGTCCCAGATATCTGGGAAAACAGACACATTTTAATGTGTTTTGGCCTTTTAGCCACACAAAAACTTTGATATCATTAAAAATGATTACTTATAAAAGTTTCGACCAAAGTGGGGATTTAAGAAAACTTCGTGGGTGTGTGTGGGTGTATGTGTGTGTATGGGGAAAATGGAGATTTGGGGTCCTGCGCACTGCAATCTGCGACAAACAAAGAACCAATATATAATCCACATACTTGTTTGACACAATTCCCAATCGACATCGTCTTTGGTTTTATTCACTTCCTATTCTAACACGGTTTTTAAAAGTAGTTTGATCTTTATATCCACACACACAAACCTCCTGGTGCTGTGTTTAATTCTTAACCGGAAGTCGTTTTGAAGCAATCTGTTTGGCTAAGAGGTTTTAGCTGTGCGCTACACTGCCCTCTATTGGTTTGGCATGTTTAAAACAAAGTTCATGAACCCTCTCATTTGTACGGGTTCATGTGAACAAAATCTTTTGAAACCGAACCCATGCGTACAATGTTATTTTTAAACAACAAAGATATTTGTTTTTATAAAGACCCAGGTATGTTTGTAAAAGGCCTAAGGCTGCCACCAGTTGAGCTTAGCAATGACCACAGCGTGTACTGTGTACATTTACTTTTTCAGGTTTGTGAGCTTGACATTATTTTCAACTTTGAGAAGGCCTACTTCATTCTGGATGAGTTCTTGCTGGGCGGCGAGGCTCAGGAAACGTCCAAGAAGAACGTCCTGAAGGCCATCGAGCAGGCGGACCTACTGCAGGAGGTAAGACCTGCACTCACTGGTAAAGCAGTAATTATTATAATAAACATTTTAGCTAATTTCTATTTCATTTTTTTTCTACATAAATGACAAATAAATTGCATCTTTTACATAGTAGCATTGCTGCACTTTAATAATGGTTAAATTAGTGAGAATTTTGTTTATTAATGAGGATAGTAATAATAGGTCTTTATAAATAATAATCTCCTTTTATAGTTTTTACTTTTTCATTAGATTTGAATATAAATTTTAAGTGTTTGTCAATTGAATAAAATGAACAAGCTTTTAAAACAATGACTAATGCCTAGTAAGCAGACGCAAGTGTTACAGGTCACTAACTCGCTGTGAAAGGCTGTTAATGTTGGTGAATGGGAGTCGGTGTGTGTGTATAATGGTTTCTTGTTATAATCATTTATTCTGTCTAGAAAAACTGACTTGGTGTCAGGATTGAAAATTCACTTTCTTGTGTGACATCAGACAGGATTTTGCCCTAAAACAAGTGCAGTTGGAGCTGTGTGTGCTGAAGCACATTACTGTCTTCGTTAGTTTTGTTGTTGAGAAGCCATGTAGTTTTGACCAGACTATCTAGAAGTGTTCTGCCACCACTTTGTCTGCAGGATATCCATTTTTAAGATGTTAGAGGAAGTCACAAATATGGCAATGTACATCATCCAAACAAAAACAGTAAATGTTGGACTTTGACTTTTTTTCAAAATCTTACAATCTTTGTACATGGTCAGACATGACAGCAAAGACATAGCGATACCCCACATTTATAACCAAACAAATTTATATGGTGGTGTAAATACACCACCACATATCTGCTGTTAGACTGGTTCTTAAATATTTCCTCATTTTATTTTTTGTAATTTGTCTTGTAATGCTCTTCAGTGTGCTTTATGTTTCTTGCATTTAGGTCGCTTCATCTCGATCGAAACTGACATGTTTCTTTCTGTGCTTGTGTATTCTTTGCTGTTGTGATTTGCAGAATATAGACTTTCAGATGCGTCTGTTTGCAGGTACAGTTTGTTAAACTCAAAGTAGGCCTTGCTGTAGTCTTAGATTGGTAGCCCTAGATAGATTATAGCCATCAGAATTAACACACCAGCAATGGACAAATTTGACTCCTGGATTATGACATGAAAATGAGTTTCTGGTGTGTTATCTGCTTCATACTGACCTCATAGCAAAGCTTATACGTCTTATGGAGTCACAGATTTCAAAGGGCAAATATCATCATAGCCTAAAGCCAAAAAAAAAAAACTACAAATCTTGTAAATATGAAAGATAAATAAATTAAAGTTGGTATAAAATTTAAATTTAGCACTAGCTTGAAATTTTGTTGCACCAAAACATATTTTGGTTAATATTACTCACAGTTGGAATAATCAAGTTGAGTGAAATGACAGACTATGTCCTTGGAATAACATTTTGCCAGATGCATTACTGTAGTGCAGCAAAGCCCTGGTAAGTAAGGCATATTCTGATTACATGTTATTAAAAAAGTGACACTTTCAACTGCTTCCATTCACTTCCACTACGTAATAGAATTATTCTGGTGTCGCAGTAGTTTGTTAGACATCACCAAATGAATAAATAAATAAACTTGTGTTTGAGCAGGTGGTTTTGGGTCAGGGTATGTTATAATGACCATGGACTTCAGTATTCACACCTAAAGTCATCACTTTTCACAATTTTTTTTTTTTTTTGGTGAAGTTCTTGTCTGCCTTTAGCTTGGGTGTCTTTTAAAAAATAATAATAATTACAGTTCTCCCTAAATACAAGTGAAACTAAAAAAAGGTAAACATGATGATATATGCCCTTTAAATGTTAACTCTGTAGCATGATGGAGCTTTTGTTCACATGTTTAGAGGCCACCAGTAGGTTAACATCCACGGTAGTTCTGGGATCAAGGTTTCACATATTACTACAAGAAATCTCTCTAAGTGGAGATTCTCAGGCATCCAAGTTATGTTCGACCCGCTCACTGACCACAAAACAATCCAACTTCACTTTGATAAGAAACAAGCATATTTAGCACAAACATTGGGAAAATTTGTGTTTTCTTTTTAAATGGTGCCTCATTTGTAAGCTAATTCCATTTGTGGGTCGAGTAAAGTACATGGGTTGCACCCAAATAAATTTGCCAAATCCTTTCTGCCAATCCTAAACATCCTATTCTACTTTTTGACTCTTGTTTGGTGTTGTTTATGGGACTCGATGATTGAAGTTTGAAGAAATAAGACATATTCAACAGCTTATTCAGGGGACTCAGTGGTGCGGGGGAGAACTATACACAACCACAACAGCATGACACCTCTTCCTCATGTTGGTAACCAGCTTGGCCACACTGCTGTAGTACGTAATGCAATTCTTCAACCAGTATTTGTGGGGAACAACCAGCTTGGTTGTGTTCATCATTTTGAGATGAACAGCATTCCAGAGTTGGTCCCACTAGTGTTCAATGGGGATCAGGCCAGAACAAAA